CTGGATGCCTTCCAGAGGACCCAGGTTTGATACCCAGCACTCCACAGCTGCTCACAACTCCATTCCCAGAGAATCTGATGCCTTCTCCTGGCCTCTGCAGGCACCAGGCTTGCACACTGTGTCCTGACATACATATAGACAGGACACCCATACTCTCTCTCTCTCTGTCTCTCTGTCTCTGTGTCTGTGTCTCTCTCTCTCTTTCTGTCTCTCTCTCTCTGTGTGTCTGTCTCTGTGTCTCTCTTTCTCTGTGTCTCTGTGTCTCTCTGTCTCTCTCTCCCTCCCCCTCTCTCTCTCTCTTTCTGTCTCTCTCTGTGTGTCTGTGTGTCTGTCTGTCTCTGTGTCTGTGTCTCTCTCTCTGTCTCTCTCTCTCTGTGTCTGTCTCTGTGTCTCTCTTTCTCTGTGTCTCTCTTTCTCTGTGTCTCTCTGTCTCTCTCCCTCCCTCTCTCTCTTTCTGTCTCTCTCTGTGTCTGTCTGTCTGTCTCTGTGTCTCTCTTTCTCTGTGTCTCTCTTTCTTTGTGTCTCTGTGTGTGTCTCTCTCTGTCTCTGTCTCTCTGTCTCTCCCTCCCCCCCCCCCTTCTCTCTCCTGAGTACAGTACCTCAGCCAGCCTGGAACTGTTGAAACAATTTGCTTCTTCTAACTCACTGGCCCCTGGATTCTGAGGCTTCCTGAATCAGATACCTCTTGATCCTTATTCCCTAACTCTCTTCAGCTCTCCCTCTAATCAGACCTCAGAATAAACAGTCTCTCCTGGATCTCAGACAGGGAAGGTCCTCTTACTTTGTTTGGCCTCCTTAGACCTGCCCTTCCCAAAGAGCACAGCAGCCGAACCAGCTGGGACCTTGGACATGAAGATACCTACCTCATCTCCAGTGAAGACCCAGAAACTCCCAGGAAGGGCCTGGCCTCTGGGCAATCAAGTGGAGAACTGCAGTATCAGACAGCAAGCTCCTTCTAGAAAGGTACTGCTTTATCCATACACCTTAGCTCTCTAGCAACAGCTTCTGACTCAAGGCACACCCTCAAACACCATTTGTTTAGGGAATAAAATGTGGAAATTGATTCCCAGACTACTCTGGGAAAGGGGGTGCACACACACAGATGACACAACACAGTTGTGACACAATACAACTGTGCTATCAGAAATTCAAGCAAACTCTAACCAGGTAATAAATGTGGGGGGAGTGCTTGAAATTTGGCTTCTGATTCTGGAAAGTCTCTGTGTATCTTGGAAGATCTTGTGTTTTGAACCTGCTGAAGTGATAGGATGGGTAATGTAGCAGATGAACTATACTGGTAGCAGCAGGGGACTGTCATGGACACACTCAATGGCTACTGACTACATAGGCCTTTGGGGAATATTGACTATGAAGACCTTTTAGCAAGTACCCTCTTCACACATATCTGGGGACATTACTGTACTATCTGTGACACAATCCATAGGTATCATTCAATTCCTACTATGTTAATCTTTTATTTTCACCTGATAATCAGATAGTAATACTGTGAAAACTGTAAAACAATTCCTATGCAGAAAAATGTCCATGTTTTAAAGGAGAGGATTCTAAGCACATGTTTCAAACCCCTTGTCTCTGACTCAAGTTAAATTCTCGACTCTATAGAAAGCTTTAGAGAGGCTTTGAGTGTCCTATTAAACCCTGCCTTCCTGAGAGCAATGCATCTCCTTATAGACCAGACTTGGTGGGTGTTCACTGCTTAGATGAGGAGACTCTGAACTCCCACCATCTATCACAAAGCCCTCCTGCTCTCTGAGCATGGTAGGAGGCAGACTTAGGAACACTGTCCCTTTGAGAATAATTTGTGCTTAGCAATGTAGGTGGCTGGTTCTTTTGTCTCAGCACTGGCCAACAAGCCTGGAAAAAGAAGCTGGAAGGACAATGTTCTTTCTGCATAAACTGATGACGCCATGCTAATTAAACTTATTTACTAAGGGCAGGAGTGCACATGCACCTTCTGGCCTCTGAGGGTTGATATCAGGTTCTGAGAAGCACCAAGCCTACCGGGTTGTGAAATCTGACCTGCATTTAAAACTGGACTGAACCTTTTGTTTGTTTGCTTTAAATACAGGGCTGGTGTTCACTCACTTCTAGAGTGTTCTGATTTACAAGGTAAAAGGAAGTTATTGGAACCACATTTGACTTGGAATATTTGCATGGGCACCTGGCACTGCGGTGACTCCAGGCAGTGAAACCGCAACTGGAACCCGAGTCACTGGACCTTGAAAGGAACTGATGCCAACCATGAGCCAGCAAGGCTGGAAAACAAACTGTCACCCAGTCCTAAGATACAGTGCTTTTCAGGCTGTGGGTGGAGCCATGACCCCAAGATCTCTTGTTTTATTGCTCATGTGTTAATTCTAATTATATGTGCTAGAACCAAATTTTCAATTAGGTAAATACCACTTTTTCATATTTTCAGATCTATTTTAATAACAATTTCCAACACTTCGCTGCATTTCTGTAGGCAAATGAAAATACCTTAATAAGCTGACAATTTCTGTTTTGTTCCCTATGATGCCTAAAGCAGACAGGGAGAGCTGAAAAACTACTGAAGTCAAGTAAACGGTGGAGACTGTTTGCCAGATGTGTACATACGGGATACCATAATTAGCATTGCTATCACCTTTGATGACAGTTTTGCAGAGATTTCTTATGGCTTCTGGAATTTTATGATGGAAAGTTACAAGTTGACAGAACTTCATCCTTCCTCCTCTGAGGAACACTGAGTTCAGTAGGCAGCAGAGTCACCTGACCAGCTCTGGGACAGAGCCCAACATCTGTACTGTTGGTGAGACTGAGAGTCACCTGACCATTCTGGGACAGAGCCTAACATCTGTACTGTTGGTGAGATTCTGAGAGTCACCTGACCATTCTGGGATAGAGCCTAACATCTGTACTGTTGGTGAGATGCTGAGAGTCACCTGACCATTCTGGGACAGAGCCCTAACATCTGTACTGTTAGTGAGACTGAGAGTCACCTGACCATTCTGGGATAGAGCCCAGAGGCTGTACTGTTGGTGAGATGACGATTCACAATCAATTGTTCCACAGACCATGCACGTGTTCAAGAGTTCTATCTTGATGGATAGTGTCTGTGGAGTTAAGCTGCATCCTGATGACACTCATCCATATGGGACTCGAATAAGCATGTAGAGAGCCATGGCCTAAAAGACACCCTAGACTATGGAAGACAAACTCTAAGTTCCTCAGCTGACTATGTCAAAGACAAAAAATAAAGGTCACAGCAATCTGAGCCTTCTTTGGGACCATCCCCAACAATGTGTGGTTTCATTGTGATATATTTAACTGCAGAGAAATAATAATGTGGGAATGGGAATGTACACAGGTTTTCAAAATGCATTCCTTTTTTTCCTTCTGTATTATAGCTGGGTATGTTAGAAAATGCTTGTCAAAATATTTTCAGAGATGAAATATTAATTTTACATATTAGGGGTTAAGTCTAATGTATATGAAAGATGAATGTACAGGTGACCTAAATAAACTATTCCTTCCCCTCCCAGAGAGAGAGAGGGAAAGAGAGAGAGAGAGAGAGAGAGAGAGAGAGAGAGAGAGAGAGAGAGAGAGAGAGAGAGAGAGAGAGAGAGAGAGAGAGAATAAAGCCTAATGTGTCTGGCTGAGGACTATGGCAGCACTGTAGAACTAATTATGCATGGCTGTTTTAATAATTTAGGATAACTTGAAGTATTACTAAATTGTCAACAATTTTCTAATTGACTTTGCTTTCCTTTGCTATTTTTTAATATTTGTGAAACCAAGGGTTGTGTATACTTGTATTTCCTTAATACTTTCCATAAGTGTTAAAATAAGACGAGCATCTATGTTTCACTTAAAAGTTATTTCATATACTAAGCTCATCCACCTGTCCAACTTTGTGAAGCATTACAAAAGACGGGTAGTTCTTACCCTCAAGTGATTTACATTTTACCTAGGCTAGCAAGGTGCTCCTAGAAGAAATAAGGAAGAGAGGCCACGAGACCTTCAGCTGCTGGCAAAAGCAGATGTTTTTAGAGAGCTAATTTGAAGAAGTAACCTTACCTTATTTATACACATGGCTCCAGGGCTGTTTCTGTCAACCAGCCTTACACATCAAAACAAAACTATCGCCATCTTGAAGACAGAAATTAGGGAATGACAAGCCGAATGCTCAGTGCACAATACAGTCCTTCCTTCCACAGTGAATAGCCAGCAACTGTCCGAGCAACACACGAGGAGACTTCTCCCTTTAAAATGGCTTTGCATGTCCTCTTTCCACTCTTCTGTTTCATCTTTATCCTCTAGGGGTGACTTCTGACCACTTCTGTGCCCCTTTGCTTTGTGTCACTGTCCTACAACTCTGGCATTTCCCATGTGGCTTCCACTCTCCTCTGGGCATCTGTGTGACTCGGTGCATGGTTTGGAACCATTTGAGTCTGCATTACCACTTTCTCTTTGTCAGGATCTGCCCTGGCTCAGACAGGTTCAGCTCTCAGCTTTCTAGTTCTTAAACTAAGCAATAGAAGAAGCTATTTATTGCGGGTAGGAAATTAGGTAAGGATAGTGGTCATATCTCATGTAATCGCATGTCAAAAGAAAAATGGAATGTTTCAGAAACGGAAAGGCAGAAAGAGAGAGCTAAGGACTGAATACATGTTTACTGGCCTCAGCGAAAATTCTGACTGTATTAATATCATCCATGAGCTTTATCTCCTTAACTTAGTCTTCATAAATGTTTCAGTTATTAAAACTGAAGGATAATTTTAAATGAAATCAGACAACTGTTAATGAAATATGAGTGGCTATTCTATGACAGGGTAAGGTTTAGCAGTCTTTAGGAATATTCTTTATTTTCTTATCTAGTATCTTACCTAGTGATTCATGGCAGTGATCTTGTTTGTCATAGGTCTTGCCTAGAAAAGTCTGAATGGCATATTCTATCAGTGACTGGAACAGACTAACATAATATATAGATGTATGATTACCTGGTTATGAATGTCCTCTCATTGACAAAGATCCAAGAAGGGTACTGGTGATCCATCATTGTTATCCTTCCTCCCTTTCCAAGATGATCTGAGGATGCCCTAAAACATTAGAAAAGTATGAATGTGTTGTTGCTGGGAGATATCCCCAAGTGACTTTCTTATTTAAATTGAGTATTTGCTTTTGTCTCTAATGTATATGAGAAGCTTTTAAGTATATGTGAGGGATCACAGTACTTCTCCTGCAGTCACCTGGACCCCGAACCAGGACAAGATTCCAGGCACTGAAGTCAAGTCCTGGCTTGAGAGTTGACTAAGGATGATGTAATATCCTCCAACTATCCTGCTGGTCTTGGAGTCTGAGATCAGATACCAAAGATCACCTCTATTACGATTTCACATCAGTGGCATCAGGGTGTGATCACAAATACTAAGCGTATTTTCTGCTTGGTCCATTTTGCATAAACACACACAAAATCACCATTGTTTTGAGCCTGGAAAAATCACAGGTACTATAATCAGAATCAAAAGGCGGGCTGGAAAGAAAAGTTCAATTCCTTAATAAAAAGGACCTGTAAGGGATTCTTTTTACTTTCATAGCAGGTTGTTTGGGTATGGCAAGAAGAGTGGAAGAAATTACATATACTAATTTCCTGGGATACCAGGAGGGAAAGAAGAAGAAAGGAGGAGAAGGAGAAGAAGAAGAAAGAAGAAGGAATGAGAAGAAGGAGAAGAAGGAAGGAGGAAGAAAGAGAAGGAAAGGAGGAGGAGACAAAGAAGAAGGAAGAGGAGGAGGAGGAGGAGGAGGAAGAAGGAATAGTTAAATAATTATTCTACTAGTCTCATAAAATCCTGCTACATCCTTTTCCTTTGAAGAATTTGCTGTCTCAACAGACATCTTGTATCTGACTCTGAGCTCAGTATTTTACTGTGGTTTTCTTTTTAATGCTTCTACCATTGTGACCATTACAATTCTTTCTTGGTGCCAGCCTTCCTGAATTTCATTCTTAGCACACACAGCCTAAGTCTCCTAACCTTTACATTTCCTTTACTTGTTCTCAAACCCACCTTTACACACTCAACACTGAAGCATTTCTTCAATGACAGACCTTTTGTAATAAATTTTACACCATCAAGTCCCCCGTATCTATTCAGCTTGATCACAAGGGGACCTCCACCACTGGTTCAGATGTGTCCCACTCCTATAGGCCCCTTTCCAGTCTCCCCATGCTGCTTCAGTACCACTCTGGTTATGTATTTCTGCTTCCTATGTTGTCATTACTGATTTATGTCTTATTTCCCTTTCTACTGCCCTAGTTCAAATCATGACAATGTCTCTTTGATAGTGCATCCTTGCCCAAGGTCTGTGTCATGGATGACTCATGCCAGAAGGGACAAAATCCTAGCAACAATCCTTTCCATGCTAGGCTACCTTATAAGAAAGACATAGTCTGCCCTTGATCCTAACAAACTGCAATCACCCATTCCCAAGACTGATGGATCTGGATGTCTGGTTACACAGACCTTGCTCTAGCATCTAAACCCTGGGTTTTGCTTTTATATTTTCTCATTCTTAGAACCTACAAAAATACATTGCAGGTCTCCCACACCAAGATCCTCCCGTGATGATGAATTGGCCTAAATACCACCTTTTCCTGGATCAATTTATGGACTATCTACCATCTATTTAATTTGCTCTATCCTGTGCCTCTCCTCCCACATTAAATCAATACTTTGCCAAATTGTCCATTTTGTCTGCCTGGAAGAAGCATTAGACAAGACTGAGTTTTCTCTTTCCCTGTGTAATACCATTTCTTCTCAGGCTTTTGAGGCAGAGCAACAATGACTTTGCCCTATTTTCTTGCCACCTCACAGCTCTCAGTGTCTTAAGCCTGTTCTGTTCACTGCTTTATGTCTCCTTAAATACTAGTTGGTTGGAGAGTCTATTTCCATCTTCACTTCTCTCGTTCTATTTCTAAGCAAATAAATCTGTTAATCTGCTCGGCTCCAGCTTGGTTCCAAACTCCTGTTACCACCTCGTTTCTACTAGGATGTCTAACCATCTTACAAGCAACATGGTTAAGAGCAGCATCAACTTCTCTCCATTCCAGTATTTCCTTCCCCACAATTCTTTCCTACATGTCCAATCTGGCATCAAACTCAGTCTCAGTCCTATTCCTCACCCTCCATCACAAGCAGACTTGAATTCACAGATAAGTACTCTTGGACTGCACTTCCAATACACAACCTGAATTCAGGACCTAGAGAGCTGTCTTGCCCAGTCTTACAACGAGAGGACCCAGAGTCACCATCTATAAGTCAGATGGCAACTTCTCATCCAATGCTGAGGAGCTTTGGAAGTGAAGAATATCATGGAAGGGCTGTGTGATAGCAGCGTGGGAATGAGAAGTGATGGGTAGAAGGATTGCTGCAGTAGCTTTCCTATCATTTCCATCTCTCTGTAGGCATAAAAAATCTAAATTGTCATTATTTTAGAGGGCAAACACCATTCAAGTATACAGTCAGACTGTGATCTGTGCTAGTACATCGTAGGTAAGCTCCTAAGACTCTGGAAAATATAATCATAGGAAAGAAGGCAGCTGAATAGAATTCAATGGACAAGAATTCAAAAACTGTGTTCGTAGGTAGTGTACAATAACTGAACAAAAATTATATTGAACACATATGATCCAAAAACTTCCTAAAACATTCAGAGAATTCCAATAACTAAAAAGTACAAGAACAATTTGATAAAAAGCTCAGAGGTTTAGTTTACTCAGAGCAAAGTGTGGATCTACAAATTCAGATAGTTTCTCCTTTCCCTTTTCCTAGTTCTGTTCACCATGACTAAGCCAATCAAACCCTACGGAGTTCTGAGGAAAATCTAAATTAGTAATACTTGATGGGTTTAAGGTCTGAATCAGTTATCACAAAAGCTCAGGAAGAAAGCAATAGAGTCAGTCAGAAGCGGCAGAGATAAGAAGGATGGAGGAAAACAGGAAGGACTGGAAGTCCAGAACTTTCTGAGGTCATACCCTGGACATTCAGTTCTTTGGTGGAACACAAGGCACAATGGCTTGAGAAGGAAGATGCTGCTACAAACACACCCTTTGCTTGGGCAGTGAATCATAATCCCTACCAGGCCCCAGGGCAAAATTTGATTGATTTAGGTCATGTGTAAAATAAGAGCACTGGCATAATAAGTTTGGTTATTTACTTTTCCATCTTGCCCCATAGGATGGATTTCGAGAGAAAGATGATTTGACAGGGCAATCAAGTCTTAGGAAGCCCTGGAGACAACAGGCAGGTTTAATTAAGGGGAGCCTGTATGGAAGAACCCAGGGAAACACAATCATTCTTAACTGGCAGATGGTCTGGAGCCTTTAGAGATGGTGACAGACTTGCACCAGTGTGTGGGCTGCTCTGGGACCAGAGAAAAGAAAGAAGAGGCCTTTGGGGTTCACTTCCCCCAGCTCTGTATTCCTGCTTAGATGTGGGCATGCCTGGATCTGCCAGTTACCAGAATGAGGAAGGTGGGGAGAGGAGGAAGGGAATTCAAGTCCCAAGAACACAAATAGACTAATTATTTAAAATACCTTCCAGTGCCCAATCATGGGTGACTGCAATGGTTACTTGTTTAAAAGTGGAAAATTTTGATCACTCTGTTGAATAGCCAACCAAGCATTTCTTGAGGATCTTCCCTGGGCCTGCTACCCTACAAGGCATAGAAATGTAGCCTAGGTCTGAGTGTAGAACCAGTGGGCCAGGTTCTTTAAAAAAGCCAAACGGAAAACCAAAACAAAGCAAGGTGACTAACTCCTCAGCACTTCTCTGGCGTCTAAACTTTTATAATAAATTATCCAGTTTTCTAATCACTTAACTGCTCTCTTTCCTTATTTTTTCCTTAAATTGACTACTAGATTCTTCACAATAGGATTATTACTACTATATTATTCATCATTTAGAGTATATGAAGTATATACATAAAAATTAATAAAATGTTAGATGCACTCAACAACCTATACAAAAGTATTAATAACTAAAATTAAGTGCTTTAAGAGGATGAGTGATTTTTCTTTTGATTACATATGTATATTTTAAAAATATATGTAGAAAAATTATCTTACATTACACATGTGGCCTCAATAGAAGTAACTAAGAAACAAAAGTAACCCCAGAAATATCACAAGTGTGTGATTTAATTATGAGGTAAGATTATTTTAAGAACTATAAACATGGTATATTTTTCAGAGAAAATTGTTCTAGCATGGAGAAGCAATAAGAATGTAGAAAAATGTATTTCACTATAAAATAAAGGTGTTTTCTCAAAACCTGGAGAAAGGGAGAGCAATCTGCATGCAACTTCCACTTAGGGGAAATGAGATGTAGCTAGAAACCATCTGTAACTCTATCCATTACCCAGTTTTTGAAAGAAGGAAAAGAAATGAATTCCAGGAAATGCTTGGCTCCATATTTTTCTTTGCTACAGAGCCTTGTTTGTAGAGATGATTGACAGTTGCCTTGGAATTCAAGGGTGGCTGTGAATTTCTCCTATCTTCCTTCCTCCACCTCCTAAGTGCCGAGATTATAGGTGTGTGGAAGGACACCTGGTTTTAAATTTTTTATTTCAACCCTTGAATTTAAGGCAATATTAAACAGGGTAAGGATCAAACGTTCAGACTTCCAAATGAGCATGCTATTGCTCTCAGATTGTATGAAATGTCATTGGAAATGCCAAATCTCTAAAATCTATTGCATATTTCTATGCACTTAATCAACAAACTCTATTCTTGGGGTGCCCTGTGGAGATGAGGAAAGTGGCATTAGAAGGAAAGGCAAACTGGTCTCCTGGTCCTCAATTAGGGACCTCAGGCTTCTTGTTCCTCTCAGTTGGCCACTGCTGCCGTCATGGGGCTCAAGGATTCTCTGCTCCATCTGTGGTTTCAAAAGGAAATTCTAAAAGTTGTCCCAAAGATCATGACTCACTTTTCCTCTTCACTTACTGGCTGTAAAATAATCAACACTTTCTCTTTTGAACCGCCATTGACTGGACCCTGAGTAATAATGAACATTTCCTTCGACGTAGTCCCGACTTCTTTCAATAGGAGGCATCCCTGTCATCAACTGCTGAATCAGTGGTACCCACTGCTATGAAAGCGCTATAATTGACAGTTCTGAAAGACACAGATAAACGTTTGCAAAGGGCTAGTTCTCTACCATAATACAAGGGTAGTATTGAGAACTCCTTTTTCAGAAGCTGTGCTTCCAATACTTGAATGTTTCATTTTTATTTTGCTAAAACCTATTTTTCCTTCATGTTTTTTGACATGCCCCCCAGTCTGGTAGAGGCAATTCCTCAACTGATATTCTCTTTTTCCATATAGGTCTAGGTGTTTGTGAGAAGCTGATGAAAAGCAACTGTCCTCCACAGAGAGCTCTCAAAGGAAGCAAAGAAAATGGCTAAACTACACCTTTAAAAGTAGTCAACATCCTTAGCAATTAGGGAGATGAAAATTTAAATTTCTTCGCGATCTCATCTTATTCCTATCAAATGGCTAAGATCAGGAAAACAGCTGACCGCAGATGTAGTGAGGATGTGGGAGAAGGGGAGCACGTGTTCACTGTTGGATGGAGTCAGACTGACGCAGCCACTGTGCAATTCAATGTGGGGAACTCGCAAAGAGCTGAAAGTGAAACCACTACATGCCCCCGCTTGTCCCAGAATCCTTCATCTACATTGTAATCAAGGAATTGATACAAGGAAATGGACTACTAGCATTAGACATCTAGTTCAGCTATGGTACTCATTTTAGGAAACTAAAATAAGACCTGAGTATAAAACATTTAATGGCATGTTATTTTGAATATAATTAGAAAAATTCATTATTTTTTAAACACCCTGGTTATTTTTTCTCTCTAACTGATTAAAGCACTCTATAATTTGTATAAAGTGTTATACACCTTAGGAACAACAGATAAAGTTACATGTATGCCAAGAAAGCTTAACTAGGAAGACTTACAGTGTTTTTCATGGTTAAAGAGATTAATGTCAATATTAAAATATTAAATATAGTTAAATAGATTTACCGTAATTGGCCCACTGTTCTGTATATTAATTTATCAATATATCCTTAGGAAATAGAAAATCAAATATTTTAAATTGCATTCAACAATTTATGTTCAAGAAAAATGTTTAGTTAATGCTCTAACTTGGTCTAAATAAGTTTGATTATTTTATAGACTAAACTGCACTAGTCACTTCTAGGCACTAGAAGACACCAGCACAATGAACCTCAGTTAGTTTGGCTTTAGAATTCCACCCATAATTCTTCAGTCAATATCTAATTAAAAGTGCATTGGGAGACTGAGATTCAATAGGGAACAAAGAATACTTAAGACAATGATGGTTTCCTGTCAAGATTCAGGGCAAACCATTTAGCAACATTCATAAAACTAACAGTAAGAGCCACAAAAAGTATCCTTTACACGACAGTTTGTAAAATAAAGCCATTTCCTTGTCATTTAAGTTGAAGGGTTAGACACTGACAATGCAGGGCACTGTTAGAATATAAATGAAAGTCACTATCATGTGATTGTAAACCATTCAATATGTGTTTCAACAGAAGCGCATGGCCCAGATGGTCTAAGTCAATGAAAATCATTCAAAAGCAGTCTTTCTTTGTGAAACTTAGAGGCCAGGGCTCTACCATAGGAGACAGACAGTAATTTTTCCACTACGGATGTTTTTTTTTTTTTTTTTTTTTTTTTTTTTTTTGGTTTTTACGAGACAGGGTTTCTCTGTATTGTTTCAGAGGCTATCGGTCCAGCCCAGCCTCGAACTCACAGAGATCCGCCTGCCTCTGCCTCCGAGTGCTGGGATTAAAGTCGTGTGCCACCACCGCCCGGCTCACTACAGATGTTTTATTTCCCTCAAAATAAACACGTTTCACGAAATAAAAGTGAATAGTATATATGTTTAAGATGGCCGTGGGTACGCTAAATACTTGAATGTGTTGAGAAGCCAGGCAGTTTCAACCTCTGCTCAGAGAGCTGACGCTTTCCCATCGTTACCAGCTCGGTCTTAGATGCTTTGCTCTCTTCCAGGTCCCCAGGGTCTGGTGTTGTCTGCCTAGCTCAGGTCAGCTTGCCCTCCCTACATCAATCACCCATTTTACAAAGCTGTGGGTTTGTGGGTGGTGATAAAAAGTGCCATTTGTGGAATGCTATCTCTTTAATCCTCACTAACCCCCCCCCACGTGATAGACAGCATCATGCTTGCTTTATACATGACAGAGTTTTGAGGCTTAGACATGGGAAATAACTTTTAAAGTGACACACTGGTAAGTAATAGACACAAGACTCGATCCCATGACTCCCTAGCTTCAGAATCTTGGTGCTAACACAGGGACATCTGTATAATTACAGTTATTCTAACCACTGTTTGGTGAGGTCTTCATTCTATCCCAAATTGTTTTCATTGTGATTTGTCTTGAGGAAACGAATATTTAACCGAACCCTCAAGTCAAAGGATTTTCTCCTAACGATGTAGTCGTTTAACACACACTTTAAATGCAGAGACGGGGGTCTAGTAATTTGTTAGGACAGGGGATTCCTGCAGCTCAGGTAAAGTCAGTGAGTTGGTTCTTTGGGAAAGGGGGAGGGCAGGGTGGACTCGCTCCTCCAAACCTTTCCCTGTACTCTTCCCCACCCTCTTCACAAGCTTACCTTGTCCAGGAAAAGAGTATTCTGAGAAAATTTTGATTTAAGGCCAACTCACACCAGGGTTGGGGTTGCGCTAATGCACGCACCCTCCCTGACTATGGATTCCACTTTCTGAGGGTCCGCTCTCACCTCTCCCCCACCCCACCTCGCGCAACCCCAGAGGAGGGAGTGGAGTGAGGGGGGCTCTTCCCCTCCACCTCCAAGTTCACCTGTTGTTGTCACGCCGGGCAGAGGAGGCTCTTGTGATCTAGCTGCGCGGACCCGGAGGTGGTGAGAGTCTCTGGCTGCAGTGGGGAGGCGGAGCTGCCTGCGGGTGTCCCGGCGTCCTTGTCACTCACCTGCTCACTCACCTGCTCCCGGCTGAAGCGCGCCGGGCGGAGGGCGCAAGGCTGGCCCCACGGTGCTGCTCCCAGCGCAGTTGGCGAGGCCTGGCAGCAGTTAATTATTACTAGGTTGCCCATCGCGGTGGGGTGTGAGCAACCTGAGCCACGCCCAGCGCCTCAGTGCATGTTGGGAGTGTTTACTCTTTCTTCCCAGCCGCCAGCAGGTACACTGACTGCTCTGTGTCACCATTACGCAGAAGTGGACGACTTTGGGAACCTAGGTTCGCAAAGTCAGGTTGAGTGATTTTCGCCTGTGTTGTAGATAAATGACAGCAGCCAGGACTCTGCGCTTTGTTTTTGAAACGTTGATTCGTCTTTCAGTTTGAGATTTCTTCATTTTCTTTTCCTTAGTCTTGGCTTCCTCCATTCCTAGGCAGCACCTTTGCACCCAAGGCATTTTTTATTTCTCACACCCTTAGGGTGCGCCTAAACCTCCCCCACAGCTTGCAACATCAGGGTATCTGCCTGGCCTGACCACCTGACTTAATGAGTTTTGGGTGGGCACATTTGTATTATTATTATTATTATATTATTAAGCCCTTCAGAAGCATCTGGTAGCCAGCATTTCATCTACTGAATTGGGTGTGGCAAGTTTACTGTTTTTCAGTACTTCCCATTTCAAAGGGAACCCAAAAGACTAACAGATGATAGACGTTGTGGAAATATTGTTTTTATTCACAGGCATGCGCGCACACACACACTATTGCTTGCACTTTCCTTTTGTATTATTGGTAATTTTGAAAGAAAATCGATTGTTTTTCAGGTGTTAAGTTTTTGAACTTACAAAATGGGATTTAATAAGTTTTTCAAGAGAAGATAAGAGACAGAGTTGACACGTGGTGTCCTCTCCTGGAGTGCTGGATGAACAGAATGATGTCAGAGTCACAAGGCTTGTTTGATGTGTCTATATGGAATCTTCCACAGGATTCTTCTCGAGCAAAAAGGGTCAGACAGTGGAAGTAGCCTTTGGCAAGCGAAAAAGACCAGGGGCTTTGAGATTTCTCAGGCCTTGGTCACAAGGGGCACTGGACCCGGTTCACGTGTTTGAGAAGTCCTGTGTAAGGCTGGGCCCTGCATTGCTTACACTAGGTTGCCTGTGGTAGCCCACGATCCCCTGGTGTGTGGTTGCTAGTGTGGACTGACCTTTGGATGACAAGGAACAGGACCTGCGGTGTTTACAGCCCCTGCTTCTAGAATGTCTCCTCAGATCCTGGCTCCGTCCAATCACTTGAGAGCCAAGGGATCGCCTGTTTATTTTCAGTGTTTGGGCACCATTGCGTTTCTGCGTTTGTCTGCAGCCTTCCAATTGGACCCCTTTGTCCCTTGAGTTCTCTATCCTTGTGTAGATGTACAGCTTTTCTTTGCACTGTGAAATCATATACCATGTACAATGTGAAAAATTTGGAAAACACAGAAATGAGAAGGAAAACTTTCTAAATTTATCTCTGAAATAAAATTATTGTAAGCAATGGGCTGAATGTTTGACTGACATGTTTGCTCTGTGAACATATCAAAACGTGGCTGCATAGTTTGTTATTTTATGACCGGCTCTTATCCCACAAAAGATATTGTGAGCAACTTACCATATGTCAAGTCAAGTGGGCTATTTTTTTTCTTACAATGTGTTTTAACTAGCAACACTGTAATATATCATATGCATAGACCATTATTTATTTAACCAGTTCCTCACTGTGAGAAAATTTTACTACTAAAAAACAATACTGTGAATGTTTATGTATAATTGCACCTAACTGTGGTTATAACCTTCAGAGTGAAGTTGCAAGATGAAAAGAAGTGTATACTTTAAATCATTTTAAAGTTTATTTTACTTTTATTCTATGTGTATGGGTGTTTTGTCTCTGTGTGTATACAACATCTGCCTTCAGTGCGTGCTGAAGCTAGAAGGGAGCGTTGGATCCCTGAAACTGGAGTTACAGACAGTACTTAGTCACCATGTGGGTGCTGAGAACAGAACCTAGGTCCTCCATAAGAGCAATCAAGTGCTCTTAACTGCTGAACCACCTCTCTAGACCCTACAAAAATAAATCCAGAGAATGAATTATCATTTTTACAGCCATAGGGCAATATGCTGCCATGAGTTATTATATTTCTTTCAATCATCTATCAGTTTTAAAGTTTAACATTCATGTTATTTATTTATTTATTGAGAGAGGGTCTCACTTGGTATTCTGTGCTGAACTCCAACTCTTAGCTCTTTGCTTCATTCCCTGAGTGCTGGGAATCCAGGGATATATCACTATCCTCAGCTGATATCATTTATAAATATGTGCAGAGTAGTTACTAGTAAAACTGAAGTCTTTCTTCACATTTACCTTGAATTTTCACTTTAAAAAATATACTCTTTGTGCATCTTCCTCTTAGTGACTTAAAATGTGTCTTTGCATATGAGGCATATCAGCTCTTCATCTTATATGCTGTAGCTTTATTTCCTGGGCTATTTGCTTACATTTTAGTCTTGTTTGTGGTACTTTTGACATATCGAAGATTCCAATTTTAAATGGCTGAATCTATTAATTTTCTTTGTTATTTTGTAACTGAGTTTAATAAAAGCTTTTACATCCATACATGTATCTATTTTCTTCCAGGTTTTCCCTAGATACTATTTATTCATTAAATTCTGTGCATCTGAATTTCTTACATTAAAAGCCATGAATTTTCATTCTTAACCTCATTTTCTAAGCTTCTCAACTATTCAATAAGCCATATTTATCAAATAATATAAAGTATTGATTCCATATGAAGGTGAGGATCCTACCTATATCTCTATGTCATCCCCTAGGCCTACTAAGGGCTAGGTAAGCACACTATTGGTCAGCCCTGGGGTCCTTTCTCTTCCTCCTCCTATGTCCAGCAAATTGGCAAGTCCTGATGTCAAATCTCCACCACTCTCCCTTTACATCAGTCCAGCACTGCCCTGGGTTCAATACTACAATGATCTCCTGATTCGTTTCTCTGTCCTACTGTAGCTCAGACAACAGGTCCCTTTATGAAGTGTTCAGATGACATCATGAGGACTTCCTTTGTTAGGAGTCTTTATAGTGGTTGTCCCATACATGTGAGATGAAATCTAAATCTGAGCTCCTTACCAAGACATAAAAGATCTCTCTCTACCTGGAGGTGGTGGCGCATGCCTTTAATCCTAGCACTCGGGAGGCAGAGGCAGGTGGATCTCTGATAGTCAAGGTTTGCCTTGCTTACAGAGTAAGTTTCAGGACAGTCAGGGCTCTTATACAGGGAAATCAACCAAACAAACAAACAAACAAACAAAAAAGACCTTGCTTGTCCTTTTCTGGCTGCACCACGATTCTATGCTGCCTGTATACTTGTCCACAGTTAGTTTTGGTTCTGAAACTCAGACCAAGCTTGTTCCTCCTTCACAGCTTTTGTACTTGGTAGTGTGTCTGCAAAGAAATCTCTACTCTGGTCACAGCATCTTCTCATTATTCTGGTTTTCCTCAAATACTATCTCCTCAGTGATGCTGTATTTTGAGGAATACCCTCTCTGTTACAGCACCCAGTTTCGTTGTGCTCATGGCAGATATCATTGCCTAAATGCAATTCACATTTCAGGCTGTTTCTTTATCTTACATCTCCAAGAGCCATGGTTTGATACCATGGTGACTTGCATGAAATGTCCCCGACAGTCTCTGGTCCCCAGTGGGTGGTGCCATTTAAGGAAGTGTAGGTGGTATAGCCTTAATAGAGGAGTGTGTGAGCCTTGGTACTAAACTCCCCCCTCCACTTACCGTTTGCTCCCTCTGTTTTGTGCCGTCAGTCAAGGATGTGAGTTCACAGCATCCTGCTTCTGCTGCCATGCCTGCTCTTGTTGTCATGACTGCCAAACATGATAGACGCGCACCCCTCTGGAATCATAAGCTCAAAGTAACCCTTCCTTCTCTAAGTTGCCTTTGCCATGGTTCTGTATCATGGAAGCAGAAAAGTGATGAATACAGGTGGCCCCCTCTTTGGTGTCCAAACTAATGCCAGGCCCGTATCAGCAGCTCAAGAAACCTTGCATTGACTCATCATAATGATGATGGCAAATAGGTATTGAGCAAACAAATGTATATCATAATGTTTCCTCATTTGAGATGACATTTTATTCATGAATAAATATACATTGGAACTAGAATTTATACTCTCCTTTATGGCTCATATATCTATAGTGTCACCAGTGACATACCATGAGCTCTATAGAACAACTCAACCTGACCATCACTTCTAAAAATTCCTTATCTATTTTTGCCTTGAATACCACAAGTGATAGCTCCCTATAGACTTTTTTTTTTTGGGCTTTTACGAGACAGGGTTTCTCTGTATTGTTTTGGAGGCTGTCGGTCCAGCCTGGCCTTGAACTCACAGGGATCCGCCTGCCTCTGCCTCCTGAGTGCTGGGATTAAAGGCATGCGCCACCACCGCCCGGCTCCCTATAGACTATTAAGAGTAAGGTGGATACTTACTTTATTCACCATAAAGCACTGTCAAAATCTTCTAGGTCTAGTGTGTATGTATCTATTAGCATATTAGCAACTGGTAATCTCATGTTGAAGAAAGTCTCCTAAAGTAGAATGTTTCTGTGGTTGTTGAGCTTTTTTTTGTCATTTTTTATTATTAGGTTATTGACATGAGTGTTGGGATGATTATAGTAATGGTTTTGATTTGTTTATCCACAGCCCTACTTCCACCATGTTTCTTTTGGATGGATTTCCTTGCACCAGTTCTGGGCTTGACCATGATACTTGCTTTGGTCTATGGATCGGTCCCAAACAAGGCTTGAATGACTTCATTTTCCCCCTCCTCCACTGGGACTTCCTGCTCTTCAAACTCCCAATGATGATGTTAATGAGCCTGTGTTGACATTTAGAATGATAGGGACCCTTGGTCCAGTTGCCAGGTTACCCCAGCTCACAGCTTACAGTAACCAGAGCTGATTAAAAACCCACAAATGGCTGCAGATACAAGGAAAACTGCCCAGTTGAAAGCAGTATGCATTCTCAATCAATCACAACTTTGAGCCACACTAATACTGTTATTTTAATCCACAAAATATGGC